TGATTTGGAGATGAAAGGAGTGCTTGCGGAGGCAGGCAAAACAAATATAAATGCCAGGAGCAGCAACGCAAACAGTGTTAACAATAATGCCATTTTTTAAACGTGTTTCATCAACTTTCATCCATTCTCTTTTCGTAAATGTTATGAAAAGCAAAAGAAGTTCCCATTTCAAAGCGCAAGTCATTCAGGGGACTGTGTTTCTGTAGTATCTTTACTACGGATTCGGGAGGGACTGTCTTTGAGTGAATTGCGCCCACCCGGAAGGAATTGCGGCACCTCGGAAGGGAAATGCTTTAGCCGTAGGTTTCCTCAAGCTTAAATCCGAGGATCCAAGGTCTACCGTACGGCAACTGTTCCAGGGATTTCCGTCACATGCGTGGTGTCAGGTGATGATTGGAAAAGGATTTAAAAAAGACTTCTCTTCTGGGGGAGCAAGTGATAAGGCAGCTCATTGGTCCCAAGTTTTGGGGGCACTGGTGCCGCTAATAAGAGTATTATTTAAAATGGGCCTTATGCCTGCCCAAACGGAGAGTCATACTCTAAATCCTGGGTCATTTCTATTCCACTGCACCGTTACGCGCTACCGTACCACTCTAGCTGCTGGTTCTCGTGCGGGTACCAGGTACGGCTGTACCGGTACATTTACGAAGAGCTCACGAGGGCAGCTCGAGGGCACTGCGTCCATTGTCTATCCAAGTTCCTTTACTCCTCCCTGCACTCCTCCCTTCACCCCTTTCCTTGGCTTCCTTGTTGCCCTACTTGCCCACTTGATTGCTTGCCTTGTGTTCCTGGAACACTCCCGGAAAAGTCTGATGCGGGATTTAAAGGTTCCTTATGGGTGCAATAAGTCTTTAAACAAGACTTAGGGAGTTTGCTTCCCCTGAAAATGTCGGAAGTGTCGTAAATGTCGTAGAATGTCGTACGATGTCGTAGAATGTCTGCGAAAATGTCGTAAATGTCGTAAATGTCGTAAATGTCGTAAAAGTGGTCTTTTTTTGATGGATTGTTAAATCCTAGTGGTAATTTACTTAGACTCCTAATGGAACTTGAGATATTTCTCATTTAGAGCCCAGTATCGATCGCTAAATGTCGTAAACATTTTGGCGATGTCGTAGAATGTCGGACAATGTCGTAGAATGTCGTAGGATTTAACGAAATGTCGTAAATGTCGTAAACAATGTCGTAAATGTCGTACAGGTCGTAAATGTCGTAAACGTGTTTACCGGAAAGTTTCCCATGTCAATAATCCTACATTATCGTGAGTGTTCCTGCATCGTGCCCTCCCCTCGCGCTCTGTCCCCATCCCCATCTTATTAGCTCTCTCTAATCCATAGTAACCCCTCATTGACCAAAAGTTACCTCGCTCGTAGCTGCTCTGAGTTTCGGTAGCTGCTGCGCCGTACACCTCGTGGTGATACAGTGTAGAGAGTTACTCTGCTGGAGTACTGATAACTGCCATCCTTATGAAAGGCGGGTTGTGCTGTTGCGCTGCTGCGCTGCTGGCTGGGAAAGCGGATATCATCTTCAAAATGCATTGCGATTTGCGATTTAATTTATTTGTGAAGATGATGGTCGCTGGTGCTGCTTTGTCCTGGTGCCTTCATCAGGAAACTACCAGGCACCGGTACTGGTCTAGCCACAACGGTTCTACGGTTGTACCGGTACTGTTCTCGTTCGCTTCCGGTTCCGGTACGGTTCATCTACTAGCTAGTACGTGCCAAGCACACGGCCTCTGGGCAATTCGATTCCACAGCAATGAGCCATCCAAGCCAGAATGGAAGCGTTTTGCGCACTTGACACTTTGACCTGGGCGCACTTCAAAAGATCCCTCGACCAGATACCAGATCGTCTAAATAGCTAGCTAGATAGCGGGCACTTTGTGTCTCGAAGATAGATGGAAAACCCAAGACGACGAATTGGAAGCGGTGCACGTGGACAGTCAGAATGAGCAGCAAGAAGCTTACATACCCAATCATGCCAACGCCCAAGAAGACGCAGAAGCAGATGCAGAAACAGGAAACAGAGGCCCTGTATGAAGGGATCTTGGGTCGAGATCCCTGTGGGTGGAACTCCGTACCGGTAGGGGCCGGACTGTGTCAACACCCCAAACACCGTAACAACGCAACAACCTAGATTTCATGGACACATATTGACCCTCGTCAAATTGAACTCGCCCCAGAAGAACGAGAGAGGGCTGAAGACATCAAGGCACTGATTGAGGGTCTTGAAGAGATTGATAATTTATCGGACTTAAGAATGTATGCTCAGTTGGCCATTATCCATGGAGAAGATATTACTCCTGCAGTTGAGATTGCCAATGGATCGCAGGTGACCAGACAGGAGTATGATATATGGGAGACCTTCAAAAATTGATGAGAGTGTGCCCAGGGGCTAACATGTACTTTGGATACAACAATGAAAGAGGATGTTATATCCATGTCTATGATTATGCCAAGATTGACATGGATTGGATGAAGCAGGGAAACAATGCCCATGCCACCATCGTAGCCAGCTATTACCTGAATAATTGCTTTGCTCCGGACTTAGAAGCAGTGCGAAAAGGGATAATATGGATTGCAGAGTGCCAGGGGTATCAGTGGATGCCAACAAGGGGCGATCCCAGGTATGCAGAGAGATACTGGATTGCAGAGTGCCAGGGGTATCAGTGGATGCCAACAAGGGGCGATCCCAGGTATGCAGAGAGATACTGGAATGACATGGGCAGCATTTATCCGCAGACACTTCGAGAATACAACTGTTTTCACACACCTGCCATCTTCAATGTCATCAAATCCATGATGCGGCCATTTGTTCCACAAGATGTCTATTCCAAGATCAAGCTTGGCTGTCGGTTTCCAAGGTTCCATGGACAGCGCTTAGATTCAGTCTACATGCTACCAACTCCGCAAATTGCTGAACAACGTGTCCTCTCAAAGTGGCATGAGGCATTTCACTTGTGATACGCAAATGAACAGTCTTCCACTTTATAGTTATTCCATGTGGGATGGGTAGCAGCTAGAGTACCCAGCCACCCAACAAATGTTGAATCTTCTGCGAGATCATGGATGGGATGATCCAAGCCTGCAGTAGGTTTGGCCTATAATAAGAGAAATTCCTTGGACTCAGTTCTATCTTTTTCTTTTGAGATAGCGAGGCCATAAATGTTGGGGGAACCAGATAAGATCAAACCGTACCTGTAGCCAATTGTACCCGAAGGATCCCAGCCACAAACATGTAGTAGGACATGTAGCTACTGCAGCTTGTAGCCCGCCGCTGAAGAGCAGCGCGGCAAAAAGCAGTGGCTCAACCAATCTGCAGCTTCTTCCGTCAAAACTGGAGCTACATGTATTTGAACTCCCGTGTCCCTTCTTTTACTACGTACCGGTAGATCTGAGCGGGTCGCTCATTTGGGTCGGGCTGCATGTTTGCTGCTCGGTCCTTGGTGGCAATTGGCAAGCAACCCACTACCAGTACATGTAGCATCGAGGGGCACATGTGCCGTATCAAATGCTGTGACAGCAAGCCAAGGAGAGGTGCGAGTTTGAGCAGACGGTATCCAAAAGGGATCTGGATGCCAAGATATCCTAACGAGACCACAATGTAATAATGGGAGCCTTTGGGGTAAGTTTTGCTGGGCTTGTGTGGCAACACCCGTTAGCATGCTTGCACTATCATGCGCTTTGCGTGCTCTCTCGAACTGGGTCGCCCTCTTACAATTCCGCCTCAACTTCAGACAATTCCGAATCCAAAGCAAAAAGCAAAGTGGCAGGAAGGAAACGAAATGAAAAGAACCGTTGTCGGTGTCGGATCGCAACTGATCGCACCGGAGAGTGCTAAGTTCTCTTCTGTTGTGTTAACTTCAATGTAGGACATAGCATGACAATCTCCCCAATGCCGAAAGTGACTGCTGGTTCGGACTCGATGACCCAATCCTCGATCCGGCATGCTGAACTATTACGCAGTTCGCTTTTTGCGGCCACATTTTAGCGAGAAACAAGCAGTGTGCAGGGTGCCAAATCCAAACTCTCACAAGTTTCATCTCATCAACCAAGAAAGCACTATAATCAACCAAGAGTCCATCATTCAATGGCCACTACTACTACATCCACACCAGCAGCATGGAAGAGCGGTGCCGCTGGCTATACCGCTGGCGTCACTGGTGTCGTTCTGAACTATCCACTCGATAGCATGAAGGTCTGGATGCAATGCGGTAGCACAGGCGCGAATCGGCACTTACAGGGAGGAGCCAAGAAAAGCCAAGGCCGCGCCATCAACCGTGTCGCTGCCACTCGAGCAGCCTCCATGAGCACTGTTGCATTTTCCTCTACTGTTGTTGAACCAAAATTACACCTTCCAAAGATATCTGGGACGATCCGTGCGCTCTATTCGGGAGTCTCGGTTCCCTTGGTCACGGGAGGATTGGTTCGGAGCATCAACTTTGCCACTTATGACACCACACGACGATTCCTTAGTTCAGACGGATCGGCATCGTCGTCCTTGACACATGTTGCCATGGCAGGTGCCGTGTCGGGAAATGTTGGGGCAATACTTACAGCACCCTTCACACTGGTCAAGACACACCAACAAATCCTTGGAATTGGCTTTCGGCAAGCCGTTTCCAAATCATTTATTACATCGTCTTCCTCCAAACTGCCCAACCTGTACGTGGCATTTGGTCCGCATTGGCTGTCTGCCACCATTGGAGGAGCCTGTTATTACACAACGTATGAAGCGTGTAAGCAATCCATACTACAATTCAAAAAAGAACAATCAGCAGCATCCGGCAAGGACCATCTTGTTGTTAAGTTGACCATTCCAGAACGCATGGCATCGGCTGCCGTGACTGGGATTGTGAATTGGTCCGTCATTTTTCCATTGGATGCATTGAAAAACCGAATGTACCACCAACACATCATTGTGGGTGGCAGCAACAGCAGCAGCAAATCTGTCTTGTCCTCGGCCCAAATGGCACGACAAATGATACGGGAACGATCCGTGTATCGAGGCTTTGCCGTGACCGTATTGCGGGCTGGGCCCATGGCAGCATTGGTGTTGCCAATCTACGACATGGCATTTCAATACTTGTTGGATCACTAGCTAGTAGAAACGAATGCAGTGAACTGAGGAGTTTCATAGAAGAGGAGAACACTGCAGACAGTGAATGTAAGCCGAAACCTCATAATAGAATAGAATAGAACATACAAAAAAAAACTGAACGTCTAATAACGGATTCAGACCAGATGTGCTTGAGGACGACCCACGAGCCGAGGCAATAGAATAGAACATACAGTATATCACAAGATCACTTCACCTCCATTAGCTCAATCTTCCTCCGACGTCAACACGCTATTAATGTACCGGTACCGGTACCAGGTACCGGTAAAACCTCTCCCTCCCTCCATGCCGTACAGGTACAGGTATCGGTACCGGTACCGCTATCTTTACCGGCCACATTGGGTGCGTTGTACAGTGCACGTACTTGCAGCCGACCAATGCAAGCACGAGCAACGCACCAATTCCATCCTCGCAAAACTCACGATCACGTTGGCTCTGGTCCACAGTTGGGGAGAGTCGTTGGTACGTCTTCGTCTTCTTTTTGGATCGAACTTGTGTGAGCTCCCGCTCACATCCTTGTCACTACTAGATAGAGTCTCGATAAAATCTGAACAATCGTCTAGTCCCCCATCGACGTAGACGGCGACCGAGAAGACTATAGCTGTCGCCGCTTCAACACATTTGTCCAGCGTCTCCGCATCACCAGCATATTCTCCTGATCATTCTTATCCTATGTTTAGTTTGTATACTTGTGTAAGGTAGTACGAATCATTGTGATACGGTATCATAGTCTCACTGAAGCACCAACACAGATGTATTTTACCGCGCTTCTCTGTACATGGAAGGCTCGTAGTTTATAACTTTGCTGGGGGGTGGCTGGTCTCCGAACACCTCTGGCCCGCCATCTTGTGGTTTAAAGATCAATGCTGCTCCATCGATGCAATACCTCTGACCAGTCTTAGCGGCGGAAGTCCCAACATAGACCCAGCCATCGTTGAAGAGATCTCCTAAATGCCCTCCACAGGTACCACATCTCACTTCTCGGCCATTCAACGTGGCTCGAACAGGATCCAACTCTTCTACCTCCACACCAGGAAGGGCCGAAGCAAAGCTTGGCCAACCTGTATTGCTATTAAATTTATCATTGCTCGCAAATAGGGCGGTGTTGCAACCAGCACAGCTGTACGTGCCACTCTTATTGGCAGCCGTGAAGGTATTCAAAATGCTGCTCTTTTGGCGCTCGGTGCCACCCCGTCGAAGGATGTTGTACTGTGCCCCGCTCAACACGTAAGCCCATTCTCGCTCCGTGCGCTGGACGGTATATCCATCAGTTCTGCTCTTGATATTAGCATCCGCCGCGTGGGCTGGATCTATCTTATTGGTCGACGCTGCTGTTGCCAATGTGGCGATGGTAGTGTGCAGCATACGGCGTCGCTCCAATCCGGCACGAGCTGCAAGCGCCGAGGTTACATAGCTATATGTGGTTGCTACCAGTATGAACGAGGTGAGGAAGCACTTCATGGTCTCAGCTTGCAATGCTTAAGGGTATGTGTTATGGTCTTCTCCGTTGGCACTGCCGCCATTCCATTGTGCCATTCCGGCATTCCGGTATGCAGCGGGACCCTCCGGATGGAAAACATCATCGGCCTTCGGTATTGCATGGCTACCACGGCTGAAAAGCAGCTCAACTGGCTGACTGAGTCACTGCACCGGTAACGATACTAAGGGGGTACCTGTACCGTCGTCCCGTCGTGGAACAAGCTTGGACACACGGGGGGTTTAGAGCAGTACCAGTACTAGCGCAAAGAAGCATGCACTCAAGTGTCAAGTGGATCCAGAACTCATGGCAGAACCGTATAAAAGAACTGACGAACCCATCGTATCAAAGATGATGGCTGAAGCTCCAGATGAAAGCAACAACAACGCGTTGGGTGGTGCTGCTGCCACTGCCAATTCTGGTAGTAATCGACAAGAGGAACCACCAAAGGGAACAATGCAATTCCTAGACCCCAAGAAAGGAGCTGAAAAGTTAAAGGAAAAGATGCGCAATCAAGCCACTGCGACGAATCAACCGCAATCCAAAAGAAAGCCACAAGGGGGCACCTTGTGCTTTCTGGATCCCAACAGAGGAGACAAAGGACAGGCAAACATTTCATTATCAGCATCAAAGCCATCACAAGCTGAGACGGCTCGGGAAGAGAAAACAGAAGAAGGACCCGATCATGAAACAAAGCATCCAAACGAAGAGGCGGACTATTATGACACCTCAGGGCGCCCCGTCCATAAGCACAATATACCAGCTGGCTTCGACCGTCCAGGAGCCTATTCTGGAGCTCCGGGGGCGGCCTACGAAGCTATGGCGCCAGCAAGCTTACATATGCAGGATATTCAGGCTACCATCACAGTAGATCCAATGGTAGACCCCAGTGACAGTGAGACTGACGAACTTGGCTCCAATGAAACCCACGTTTCTTTACATCCTCGAGCCAACACCAACTTTCCAACAATTTCTGCAGCGCAATCAAACCATGCAGGGGCCCAAGATGGTGCAAGCAGCAGCAATGCCAGCAATATTGGACTAGCGGTTGCAGAGCTGGTGCAAGAGGATGACATGCCGCGGCAACATGCCGCAGAAGTTCAAATGGATGAATCGATACAAAGGAAGCAAGGATCAATGAAACGATTCAAAACTTGGATTCTGTTGGCGGGCATTCTCTTCATCGCTGCTGTTGCAGCATTGATTGCAGTTCTTGTCAGTGGAGGCACACCAGATGAGTCTGAGTCACAGCCGTCATTGGAGACACCAGTCAACATTTCTGATTCTCAACCATCAGGTATGGAAGAGATGGAACAAGCCTTACTGACTCTCTTCCCAGAGGAAACTGTTCAGGCCATCAAGGGAGACTCAGAGTCCCCCCAATCTCAAGCACTCCAATGGCTGATTGCTGACATTGACAGCCAAAAACAAGTGCCACTTAATGACCAAATCAAGCAACGGTTTGCTTTGGTTACACTCTACTTTGCCACCAGCGGAGCCTCATGGACCAACAATGAATTCTGGCTTGATCACAACATCCATGAGTGTGACTGGTTTATCAAGCCAGACTTTGCTTTGAAGGGAAAAGTGTCTCAATTTCTCAATGGTTACCTGAAAGAAATGTTTCCTCCAACCGACCCGCCTCCAACAACTTGCAATGCCCATGGGTTGTTTCAGAATCTCTGGTTGGATGAAAACAATCTGCGTGGTACACTGCCAGAGGAACTCTTCTGGCTATCGTCCCTTGAGACTCTCTCATTAGGAGCCAACAATCTCCGTGGGAGTATTTCTAGCCATGTTGGAAGGCTGACCTCATTACAAGGGCTGGCAATTTCATTCTTGCGCAATGCTGGGACGATTCCAACTGAACTTGCCTTGCTCACAAATCTGGGTTCTTTGGGATTAAATGACAACTGGCACACTGGATCAATTCCCACTGAGATATGGCAGCTGACTACTCTGCAAACACTTGGTCTGAGCCTAAATCCTGATTTGAAAGGCAGCATACCAACTGAGGTTGGATCCCTTCCCAAGCTGAGATGGATGAACCTTGATGATTGTGACATCTCTGGTGGGTTTGCTGAGGTTGTTGTTTTGTGCTCATGGTGATCGGTATTGAACAGCTCACAACTTCTCCATATTTATTACACTCAGGCAGCATTCCCACAGAACTTGGCAAGTTGGAATATCTGGAATGGATGGTTCTTGAGAGGAACAGGTTGACTGGGACAGTGCCGTCAGAACTTGGTGTACTTCCCAGTATCTTGTTGATGTCTTTTTACAACAACTCTCTTCAGGGAACCTTGCCAACCGAGCTGGGACTCCTAACATCGCTCACACTGCTGAATGCTCGTAACAATTCTCTTTTTGGCTCTATTCCAAGTGAATACGGCCTTCTTTCCTCCTTGGCTTTGGGTCTTGAACTCCAAGACAACCTTCTCTCTGGTACAATACCAGTGCAACTAGCCAACCTGGTCTATCTGTGGAGACTTAGTTTGCAAGAGAACCAACTCTCTGGCCACATACCAAGTGAATTTGGCAAGATGTTAGTTTTGGGACTGTTGAATCTTGCCAACAACTCCCTCTCTGGAACTGTGCCTCAAGAACTGGGAGAACTGAAACAATCCCTATTTTCTTTGAACTTGGAGGTAAATCCACTCTTGTCTGGAGAACTTCCAGATCCCCTTTGTAGCCTTGGTGGCTATTGTTTTGGTGTTGCATCCTTGCCCTGTTACAACTATGGTGTCCATTTTGACTGTGGCAACCTGATATGTGGCTGTGGATGCCCTTGTGACGATAACTAGCTAGGTCGCAATTGAGTTCTTTCATTTTGAAGGGCTATCAAATGGCCGGCAATGCTCTATACGGTACCACTGTACAGGCAGTAGCAAATGCCTATTCATTTCATGCCTTGCCTACAAGGCTAAAGGTAGGGAGGAGAAGCACCCCCGCCAAGAGGGCATGGTTCAGTCACTACAGTACTTGCCATCGTGTGAAGGTCAAAGGTTGTCCACTCTTTTTAAAACGTGTACAACTTGGAGTTTTGTCTCCCCTTGCCCTGAACCCTGCTTGTTTTCGCAGCCTCGCAACCTGAGCCAGTGGCAAGGCCATCGTTGCCATGGCTATTGTCATGGTGCCAGTCAACCGTGGCTTTGTCGTTCCAGACTTGCTTGATGATTGTACATTGTACTGGTGCCTTGGTTGCGTGTTACCGGTAACGGTTAAGCCATTGAAACAGCAATGTCATTTGAATTTTCAAAAATAACCGTTACGAGTGAAAGAGAACGCAATGGTCATTCGATCATCAAATAAGGAAAAAGACAATGAAGATGAAAGCATCACTACTGTGGGCCCTCCTTATTGGCCTTTCCAATCTCTTGCCTGTCACATCACAACAGGATGAACTGCCTTCCACTGCACCCTGCTTCATGCTATCGGCAGATCCTGCCAACCGGAATGAGTTTGTTTTATCGAGTTCTCCCCCCACCGGAACCAATTGCATGCAGACGCCCAAAGATGGCTACTATCGGTTGACCATCACACCCGACCTGCCGGGTCGCTATGAGATGCAAGAAGAAGATTCCGGACTTGGCTATGCCTGGTCGTATCCCGCTTTAGGCATTCACTACTGTGTGGACGCGGGTAGCACATTGACGTTGGTCGACTTTGTGGAAGGCGCCATCATGTTGGTGACAATGGCACG